CAGTGAAGTATGCATATAGTTCATGATGAAATTGTACTGGTGTTATTTAATTAACAGGCTACATGTGATCAAGAAATACTAAGACATTGATGACTCCATCTTTGTGTGCACTCGCCACTACAGCGAATAATTAAAGTAGGGTGAAAAGCGGTGGCTACGTATCTGAAGTAGTGTCATTATTACTGTAATTAAAAACTTATATTAGCAGTAATGATTTTAAGATTGTTAAAAATAGCGCTTAGGGATTAGAAGTACCAATGCAGGGAAAGGTCTTTTTTCTTAACCGATGCACTTATTTTATTTGAAGTTAAAAATAAAGTTGACTTATGCGAAAGTTGAAGAAACCACACACATAATTTACCAGCTAGGAGACGTCGGTTATTCCCTTGTAGCAGTATTTCTGCCTTCATTCTAATCCACATTTACTGTAACACTTTATCTGACAAATTAATTCATTAATTTTTATGTTAAACATCATACTTCGTCCAGTTTTTCTCAGTTTAATTATTAATATTTAGAGGCTGTTAATATTAATATTACCTTTAGAGGCCATTAATGGAATACTTTTTTTATTGCCATATTTCCTTTTAAGGTACATATATATACATATACATATATATATATATGTATATGTACATATATACATATGTTATGCAATACTGTAAATTGCATTCCTAAACAATAAATTGAGCGAAACGAACACAGCATGAGAGGGGGAAGGGTGGGGAAATATAATTTTTTGCCTTAGAAATTTTTTTAAGGTTTGGCTGTGACGAGTATTGCCAACGTAAGATGGGAGCCATACTGCTGCTTGTGAATTTTCTCGCCTTTTTTTTATCACTGAGTTTTTCTCAAGTTCATTTGATCAGCCAGCACTGAAATTTATTGCCATTTTTCTGACTAGCTAGGCTTGTTCCAGCGACAGCAGCAATGTATCTGTCACCAGTGGTAGTTCTGCTCCTGCTAGTGGATTATGTAGTGGCAGATCCGAAATGCGATCCATCCGCGTACAAGTTATCAATGATTGCTGTTCATGATGGCAATGATGACGCCTTTGAGCGATTAAGGCATTCAGCTGAGCGATACTCCATTGATTTTACTGTTGTTGATTTAGCAGCAGAAAATGTGGCCAGGAATCTTGAAAATACTGAGGTTTGTATCAAATTGCTAAATATTCATTTTAATTTTAACTTCGTGAAATTTGCATTTTAATTGATCACTTCAGAAGACAGCACTTTTTTAAAGAAACATTTTTCTCAAACAAGGCCTGAAAAAGAGCGGCAGAAAACTGCTGTTTTACCGTGCTACAGTGGCGGTGCATAGAACGAAGATGCACATTCGGTCACGGTCCAAACAGACATGTTGGGTCTTGGCCAGAAAGTAAATGTACGCCACAATTGCCGACCGAAGACTACACGTAGATCGGCTAACAGTCATAGGCGGGTCCAGGGCAGTCTCCTTGAGAGGGAGAGGGGTGGGGAGGCAACAGGCGGTATCAAGCAGAGTTTTTTACATTAGAACAACTGCTACTTGAGCCTCTTGGGAGCGGGAAAGGTGGTGGGTGGGGGCGAAAGACCCTCCTCTTTGTATCCGCCAATGTTAACAGTTGATGTAAAGTTTCACAGCATCGCGGTTTTTCTCAAAATGTCGATTTGGAGGAGCCGTAGCTTCCCCGTACCATTGAGCTGAAGGTAATATTTGGATGTGAAGCTTGTCACTGACGGCAGTGGACGAAGGGAGTAATAGAACAAATGATGCTTGGGGGATTTCATCGCAATCGTACAAACAGTTGGTTTCTACGACAGATGAGAAGCGCACAAGATGTTCTGCAAGATAATAGAATCCAAACTTATTGCTCATACTGCTAGCAGTTGGTGGGCTTAGAATGACCTCCAGTGAAGCTATCTCGTGCACCACGCACATACATCAAACCGGTCGATAGGTACCAAATGAAGTCATGCAGCGCAGGACTTGCAAGCTTTGCCCAACATGTGGGCCTAGCAACATAAGTATGAGAACTCTGAGTCTTTAGGAAGTTCCTGAGAAGTCGCCCACCGACGCTCAACCCAGAAAATTTAAATTCGGCTTCCCCGTGCGCTTGAGTATCACGTACGATACCGAGAAAATTTTGATGGGAATAATTATCTCAGGAGTCAGAGGAGCTGTGAGGCTGAGATTTCTGGAGGATGTTTTCTCCTTGTGCAGATACCTCACAAATTCAAATTTAAATCCCAAGTATGCCGAGGTCTTACTTACGACCACTTAAGTGTTTTGATGCGAAAACCACTGGCTCGGGAGCCGGAAAACTGGGAGGTTGGAATTTGGGGGATGTTACTTGTCCAAGGTTTCAAATTCAGCTTTCACGTACCGGCACATGAAATTTTTAGTGAAAAATTTCGCAACTTAGAGACCAGACAACATTTAGCAAAAAAAAATTCTTTAGCAGGCAAAAGTCAGCCAGACAGAACTGCACAAAATGCATGATGGCACCCGTCACCGTGGTGCGCGCCACCATTTATTTTTTCCTAAAAAGGCTAAAGGGTAGCGTGTGGAAAAGGAAATGGATTGATCTGACAATGTAAAAGACAAGTAATTATAGATTCAAAGTACGCGTTTTCGTCAACTTCTAACCGAAATTGATGCATTGAAAGCAAGGAGCACTCACGTTTTGCTCGTCGATGGGTTAGTGTTTTTGAATTTTCTTTGCAAACTTTTCAAAAATTTCTAAAAATTGAAATCATACGAATTTTATTTTTAACTGCAATTGGACGATTCAGATTTGATGCGATTGTTACGGGCAACGAAACAGAAATACTGTGTCAGTATCTCAGCGCTTGCGCCACCTGCCACGCTCTTCTTCCGTCGAATCGAATGGCATCCAAGGAAAGGTGCGTCATGCGGTTAAATCGTTTTTATGCGTTTTTTGCAGCAATGCAATGCAAAAGACGCATATTGACGAGGTTGTCTGTGTGTGTGTGTGTCTGTGTGTCTGTGCGTCTGTGTGTCTGTGTGTTCGTCTGTAC